AGAGAGTTCCAATGCTGCTTCTTCCTCAGGGATGTGTTCTGGGTCTGTATCCTTTTCCCTTGTTTCTACTACTTTATCTTGCTTCTTTGTGTGGACTGTGATGGTCTGTTGTCTCCAAGACATAATTGCGTTATTGTATTTAGATCTCTGTTAACTGTTTGTGAAGAGCAGAAGGGTGATGCAGGCTCTTCTTGGTGGTTGTTTATCATTGTCCTGTTGGTGGAGAAGGAAGTGGTGGCTCTCATTCAGTAAGTGAAGCTCCAGGAGGTGTGGGTATAGTTGTGTCATATGGAGACTGTTGCTGTCTTACACTCAGTTGAACAAGAATAACAACTGAATAACCATCAAAAAAGTAAAAGCAAATGGACAAAAAATACACCATTTAATCCCACAGGAACAGTAACTAAAAAAATAAAAAATGCAAAAAGAAGGGGAAAAAAAACCCCTGCTATATCTGGGGAGAGGGAAATAGGAGAAAAAGGTAGAGAAGGAGAATAGTGAAGTGAAAAATACAAAAATGCAAAAAGAAAAACAAGGAACAGTGTTAACCATGAGACAGAAAAAAAAAAAAAAAATGCAACCAGGAACAGAGAAAAGAAAAAAAGCTGAAAACTTGAAACTGGGAGGGGAAGAATAAATAATAATAGTAAAAATGACAAAAGTAATAATAATAATAGTTTAAAACAGACAAAAATAAACTAAAAACAGAAAAAAGAAGAAAAAATTGGGGCAGGGTGGGGCAGGACACCCAGGCTCTGTCCTACCACACAGACTGGGATGGAATTCCTGCTGGCCCAGAAAGTGAGGATGGCTGCACCTCTGTTCACCAAAAGGGTGTGGTGTATAAGAGTAACAAGGAGAATGTCGCACCTTCCCAGTCATTGGGGTCCAGAATGCCTTTGGGGTTCCCAGCAAGTGGAGCCTGTTCTTAAGTCCCTGGAATCTGGGAGAACACTGTTGCTTTAAATATCCAAAATGGTCAAGCTGCTTGTAAATATTCAAAATGGCTGCAACCTCCAGGCAGACAAAAGTCCACTACTCAGCCCACCTTCCTCTTCACTGCCTCCCCTTTTATTCCCCAGCTGCCAGTGCAGTCCCTGGGTAGCAGGGCCGATTATTAGGTTAATTCTTAGGTCTTACCACCTCTCAGCAATATCCAAGCTGTGTATGCCATCAAGATCACTGCCAGACCACAGCTTTGTATGTCTCCTTTTTTGGTGTTTTCATGGAAATTCTTCTGCTAGTTTGAGTTTAGTCCACTTATATATCCTTACCTTCATGGTTCAGGGGTCCAGAATTATCTTCTGTATCTGTGTTAATTGGTTCCCCTTTTCTTTGTTGAAGAGGGTCTGTGCAGTCTTTCTACCTATTCCGCCATCTTACCAGAACTTGAGATGTGGTTTTTAAAGATACCTTTTCATCTGCTTTTATTTTAAAGTGGAAGTATTTATTCTAAACTGAGGGATAATAGAAAATTCTATTCTCTCTAAAAACCCTTACATCAATCACCTCATGCAATTAGGAGTTTTGCATCAGACTATGTACAATGCTCAATTTAGGCAAACAATTGCCCTAATCAGTGTTTGCACAGGGGCATAGCTTGGGGGGCAAAAGTGCATAGGTAGGAAAGACCTGAGGAAGAGGTAACTACAGGGAGGAAATGGGAAGAGAGCTGTTACATTGTGGGGAATTTCAGTCAATGTTATGAAACAAAATGTATATGAAGTACTGTATGGAAAATGAATTTGCTCTGTAAACTTTCACCCAAATCACAATTAAAAAAAAAAAAAAATAGCCCTACCAAGAAAAGCCAGTTGATCCAGAACCATATTTACATTGGTGAAAAGTTTTTTTTTTGTTCTGAGAAACTGAAACCAGTTCTGAAGCCGACCTAAGCCAAAAGGAATGTATTGGAAGGACACTGGAGAAGTTGACAAAATAAAAGAAAAGCTGAACTACCCAGCCAAGAAACCACAACAGTGAGAATCTTGGAACCTCTCTCCAGCCATTCATCATTAATTGGAAAAACTCTCTGCATATGTCCATTGAAGGTTCAAATTCTCAGAAAAGAACACCTGCTGGCCTTCCCAATCAGACATCTCCATCTTTGGATGAATTAATTATGGCCAAATTAGGGGTGGCTAGGAGTCAGTACAACACATTTACCCGGGATGTTATTGTGACTCTGGCAGCCATGGTAAGTAATGATTACTACAACCTCCTTGGAATTCATCACCTGCCATATTTAACTTTTGCCCTTCTAATCCCTTTCTCCCAGGAACAGTCTTCAGGGCGTATTATTACTCTACTCTACACCAGGATCTGAGAAAAGCCTGTGATCCCTCACTTACTTATCGTTCACAAGTTTCCCATATTTGTGAATCTGATTTTCCATCGTGAAGTTGATTGTAGCTCCATACACGTGCTCACCATTAAATAGTTTCATTTTAGACTTGTACTCTTCATCTTGAAAATACCAAATCATATCAGGGAACCAAACTGTCAGTCCATAGTAACTGAAATAGGGAAAATAGAATGCGTGAACCATAGCATGTTTAACTCTTTCATTATCTGAGTCTACATTCTTGAATTGATATAGCTCAGTCATTTTAAAAAGATGGTTCATTATTAGAAAATCTAATAACAAAATTCATCATGTTAATAGATCTAACAAGAAAAATCATGATCATCTCCATAGATTCTGAAAAGGCATTTGATAAAAATCAACATTCATTCCTGATTTCAAACAAACAAAAAGACCCATAAATTAAGAATTGGTGGAATAGAATTGAAAAAAAAAAAAAGCATATCTCTCCTCAAAAGTTGGGTTTTTACTTAGTAGGGAAACAGTGGAGATGATCTCACTGAAATCAGCAACAGTAAGAAGATGCCCATTATC